TGTGGAGGGGGCGGGGTTAAGGGAGGGATAGTGCCCGGATCTGGTCTAGGGAGAGGGCAGGCAAGTAGTACGGCAGTGACCACCCCGATGGGACGGGTCGGTTGGGCCAGGAAGAGGCAGTGGTGAGGCCGAAGGGAGAGTGGAAGCTGGTCTGATCTGGGGGCCTGGCCAGCGGCCAAGCCAGCGCAGTATTTGGGCTGAAGGGGCGTGGGGAAGCGTGGCGGGGGGGAACTGGTCTGGAGAGAGAACAGCGAGGGTGGGGCCTGGAGCTGGATAGAGCTGCACGGATTTCTCACCCAGGCACTCTGCAGCCCGCGGGCCGGCTCGGAAACCAGGGCCGCACACGCAGTGGAAGCTGCCTGGCGTGTTTTCGCAGCGCCCGGAAGCACAAGGAGTGGGCACGCGGCGACATTCGTCCACATCTGAAGACAAGGAGGGGGCTGGTCAGGAGGTAACCCAGCAGAGTCCCCCGCCGCGCCTCCGTCCATACCCTTCGGCAGGCTCACCGATGCAGTGCGTGCCCTGCGGGCCGAGCCGGAAACCAGAGTCGCAGGCGCAGGTGTAACCACTGGGCCGGGGGATGCAGCGTCCCGGGCCACAGACCTGAGGATTGCGCTGACACACACCCGCAGAGGGACCTGGTGGGGTCCCAGTCAGCGAGGGTTCCCCCATCTCTGAATCCTCAGTCCCTTTCATCCCAGGGCAATGCCCTCAGATGCTCTGCCTAAAACACCCCTCACGAGCCTGGTCTTGCTCCCCTGATTTGCCTCCCCTTTATCGTGGGATGTTCTCATCAGATTCTCTGCCCAAATCCCCCAAAACGCCACCCCAAAGTCTCCACTTTAAAGTACTTTGCTCTCCAGTCCTCTGCCTGAGATGTGTTCTTAGTGCCCTTGGTGAAAAATAATTGTCTAGCATTAACAGCACTTAATATGTGCCAGACACTTCAGAGACAGGTCGTTGAGTCCTCACAATGATCCCCATTTTACATGTGAGGAAACTGGGCTCACAGAGGTTAAATGACTTGACCAATTGATGGAGAACTTGAACCCAAGCCTGACTCCTGATGTACAAGCTCCTGATGTAACCACCATGCAATCCTCTTCTTAACTCCTCAGGCCATGATCAACCTGTTTGTTCTATTGGGAATCTTCATCTGGGAGCCTCTTCCCAGAATCACCACCTGTAACACCCCCATCAACACCCTTGATTCCCTCTACCTCACCTGATTCAGAGAACTCTGGGCCAGGCCAGGCAGGGATGCTGGGCAAGGGAAGCTCAGGGCCTGGCCGGGGCTCAGGTCTGGGCTCAGGCCGGGGCTCCAGGCGATGGGTGGGCAGAAAGCCTAGTAAAGGAGGGGTGTCAGCAAATGGAGACTGGGATTTGGGTGTCCCCACTTCTCTTTCTCCTCCTTTCCCTATGGGTCTGGGGCAGGCCGTGGGAGGAGACATCCTCTCTGGAAATCAGCTCACCTGCAGGAGGCCGAGGGGTGGAGGGTGGTGCACGAGGCTGGCTGAGGGACACTCGGGGTGGCTCCTGGCCCAGGGGTCTGGTGTTGTAGCGGAGGTCGGAAGCTGAGTAGTGGTAGCCAGGGCCAGCAGGGCAGATCTCCCGAAAACCCTCTGGGAACCGAAAAGGGAGTGGGAGAGGCAGAGAGAAGGCACGAGAGCAGGAGGAATGAGGCAGAGAGAGGAGGGAGAGCCTAGTCTGACTTTGGCTGGGGGTGGGGCTTGGCCTGGGAGTGTATCAAGGGTTTGGGATGGATGCTGGGATGGGATGGTACCTGGACAAAGACAGGGGCGTCTCAGAGGCTAGGGATGGGACCAAATATGTTTTTCCCTATTGGGATAGTGTCAGGGACAGGGGTTGAGGGATGGGTCTGGTTTGGGGTCTATAGGGACTGGGTTGAGGTGAGGAAACAGTTCCATAAATGGAGTCTGTCTTTAGGCAGAAGCAAGATTGCCAGGGAGGGGAGTGCCTGGGGCCTGGCCCAAGGCGAAGCCTAGGCTGCAGCCACCGTCTCAGGAGCTGGGACTTGGCCAAAATTTGGGAACAAGGTTAGGTAGGCAATATATCTCTCAAGGGCTAGGAGCAGCCAAGGCTGGGGGTGACGCCTAAGGGACACAGCCTAACTTTAAGGTGATGTGGTAGGGGGGCGGGGGATGGCAAGGATGGGTGGGCCCCGGCGGAGTCCAGTCGGAGGATAGTCGTTCCTGGAGGCTGGGGAAGTGACCAAGGATAATGCCCAGCCTGGTTTGCCAGTTTGAGCCTTGGTGTCTGGGGGCGGGGCGTAGAGTAGTCTCTCTGTGTCAAGTCTAAAGATGTTCCCGGCGGGAGGCACTCACCTGAGCCGAAGGGTGGGCAGAGTTGGCAGCCCCGGCCCCAGGCTTTGCCCACGCGGCTACAGCAGCAGATCTGTTTGGTGATGTTACGCAGGATGGGCAGCGAGCAGCCGCCCTCGCGGAGCACGCGGAAGCAGGGCCCCTTGGCCTCTGAGATCACGTGTTGAGCTGGAGGAGGAGGAGGCAATTCTTAAGGGCGGGATTGGGAGTGTAGCGGAACTAGGGGATTCAGAGTCTGAGACATTCTGAGGAGAAATCTAAAAAAAGTGACTGGGGGGAAAAGGGGGTGCATGGGAGTCTGCAGTATATGGGAGGGGGGCTCTAAAGGAATTAATGGTCCAGGGATGCTCCAGGATGGGGTCTAAGGGCAGACAGGATGGACTTGGGACCCAGCCTCAAACCCCTCCAGGTGGCTCACAGATGCAGCTGCTGCGGGACGAGTCGTGCAGGAAGCCGTCGGGGCACACGCACGTGTACCCGCCACGCGTGTTCGCACACTCCCCATGCTGGCAGCGCCCGCCGGTTGCGCACTCATCTACATCTGCCAGGGATGGGATGGTCCCAGTGGCGTCAGGGACAAGCTCCCTGCCAGCCCCGCCCCTAGAGCCAAGCCCCTTCCAACCTCTTGCCGCTCACCCTCGCAGGACCCATTAACCCTTTCAAAGCCTGTTGGACACGGTCCATCTGGGGAGCCCAGTCGGTTGGAGTTCCCTGTGGAGAGAAGAGAGGCGTGGGCCAGGGGAGGGCGGAGCGGGAATGGAGTGGGCGGGTACTAAACTTGGGTGGGAGGGGCTAAAGGTGTCGAGTGTGACTTAAGGGCAGGGTCAGCCTTAGGTTGGCGGTCTGACAGAAGGCAACGTGAGAGTTTCGAAAAATGCATGGGTTGGGCCATGGCACAAAGGCCGGGTGAGAACAGAGTAGCCAAAACTATAAAGGCGGGTGGGGAGGTCCCAGAAAGATATGGATAGGTCTAGACTGGAAATGATCCCCACAGCGGGGTAGTGTGGCTAGAATTTGTGAACAGGGTTTATCTACGGACAGAGTCCCAGGAGCAGAGGGGTTATCACCCCTCCTCAGCTCCAAGCACCTCGGGGAAGTTCTAGGGCTTACCCAGGTGCTCCGAGCACGGCTGACAGTCATGAACGCCCCAGGCCAAACCGGCCCCTCTGCAGCAGACCTCCTGCGTCCGGAGCCCGGGCAGCGGGGACGCACACTGTGGGGAAGTGTAGGGTGAGCGCGCCCCCGTGCGGGAGCACGCTCCGGGACCCTCCCCACCGGCCTCCTCTCACTTCGCCTCCGCGCAGCTCCCGAAAGCAGTAACCGAAGCCCGAGGCATCTGAGTAGCCGTCCTCGCGCGGCGCGCTCTGTGCCAGCACCGTGTAGGGTGCGGCAGCCTCCGCCCTCGCCGCCGCTTCTGCCCGCGCCACTGCCTCGGCGTCCGCCGTTTCCCACGAGCCGGACACCCGCTCCACCTGGTGCACCACCACCGATGCCTCCTGCGGGTGCTCCACGTGGACGCTCACCATAGACGCCACCCCTGGAGAGAGGCACGACGGGGCAAAGGGGTGTCTACACGGGTTCTTACGGACTAGGACTAGGAAAGATGGTTAAGGTCGCCCTGGAGAAGGGTGCTCAGGGCAAGTCAGGAAAGATGCGGTAGGAGGAACGGTGAGGTGGTGGACAGAGTTGTCGGAGGGGACGCCGGCCACACTCTCCTCACCGTGCTCGTCGTCGCGGTGGTTGGCCAGTGGCATGGTGTACACGGAGCGGGTGAGACCTGGCATGGCTGGGGCCGGTGGCCGGGCGCCCGAGGAATGCAACTGACAGAACTTGCCAGCGAAGTCCGGGGGACAGAGACAGCGGTCAGGCTTCACGCACACACCGCCGTTGTGACAGATCAAGGGACACAGGACTGGGGGGAGAGCGAGGACACTCAAGGGTCGGCAACCCTCCTAGTAGGCACCCTGGGGCCAGCGCACCGAAGCTACCTCAGTCCCTGACTCTATACTTAAAGGTACCGCTCAGTGCTGAGTCGTTCCTCCTTGAGTTGTCTTTTGTCACCCCCACCAACTCTGGCCACCTGCTTTGGCTAGCTGTAGTCGTACAGCCCTCTGTAGTACAGCTCCGCCCACTAGGTCGCCTGACTGGGCGCTCCGGCTTTCGTTCACTTTCAGGTAACCCAGCCCTCAGCCCTCTCCAGTGCCACTTTGGGCATTCCAGCCCCGCACACTCTAGCCCGTTCCTTAACATTTAGACCCGTCCAGCTTTGTCTGGTTGCTCTTTTGCAGTTCCAGATCCTCAGACCCAGCGCTGGTCTCTTCCATTGACTAAAACCACATTTTAGTCACTCCCTGGCACCACTCACACCTCCCAATTCTGTCTCCTTACCTTTCTAGACACGCCCACATCCCCAATTGGCCAAATTCGCGACTCTCAAGCTCTGCCCACTTCTATAGACCACGCCCACATCCCGCCTAACCCCCCCGGGATTTTAAACCCCTCCTATCAAGGCGTCTAACCGGTTGCCCTTAGCCCCGCCCACCTTCCTTTCTTCATGCTGATTTGCCCCAGCGCTCACGCCCAAGCCCCTCCCATCCCACCCCCGACTCTCTGGGTGTCCTCGCTCCGCCCACCTCCCCTCTGGCTCCCTCTCCCGACTTCTAGCTCTAAGTTCCCGCCTCGGGTAGCCCCTGGGCGGGGCCACAAGCGGGAACGAGCTTCCTTTCCCCACCGCCTGCCCTCGCTGGGCCCCAGGCCACCTCTGGGCGGGGCACTGCCAGCTGTGCGGCGGGGTAAACAAAGAGAGGGGTGCGGCGGGGCTAGGGCGGCGGCTCCGCATTCCGGACCCTTGGGGAGCCCCGCGCCCGCTGAGCCAAAGAAGGCTGGACGTATCCAGAGAGGGCACTAACCTCCTCTTCTCCCCCGGGGCTGCCGAGAACAGCTGGAGACAGCTGTGCTGTGGGGAGGAAGGGGCAGGCGGCCGGGGCCGTCCAGGAAGGCGTGTGTGGGATTCTGGGACACACACTGAGGAGAGGAAAGCACAGACGGAGCCCCTTCAGTTTGGAAGGGTAAAGAGCCTGGACTCCTGGGAGGGCAGTAGTCTGGGATTCAAAGACAGCTCAAGGTTTCAGGAATAGAGAGGAAACCGAGGTGTCCTTTCAACAGAAGGAGTCTCCTTTTGGGGAGTTTACCTAGAAAACAGGACTCTAGGGCCTTCTAGGAAATGGCCACTTGGAAGGTTTAGCTGGACATAGGGAATTCCTGGGAGTCCCCAGCGTATAAGAGCCTCAATTGTCTGGGAAGACTCTAGGATACTGTGGAATACTAAAATACTCTTAGATCCTCTAAAATATCAGTTGTGGGGTTAGGTGACCAAGTCTTTTGATTCATGTTGGGGGGGAGGAGGGGAAAAGCAGTGTTTGGAGTCCTCTTGAGAGAATCAGCTGATCAAGACCAACTCTGTCCTTCTCTGAAGATAGATGGAGCAGAAGAGCCTGGGGAGAGAGGCCAGCTGGAAGAGCAGGACTTGGAAAGATAGGAATCAGGAATCTCAGTTGAAAATATAAGAAAGTGGTAGTCTTTGTGGGAAGAGGATTCAGCTAGGGAGTGGAGTTACCATCTCTGGGGTTGTAATCTGGGGTTTCTCCTGGAAATGGGAAGGAGTAGGGGGGATAATACTACCGAATTCTCTAGTAAGGGGCACAGTTAGGGGGAATTACATCAAAAAATGGGAGGGAACTGGGGGGGGAGGCAGTCTCAGATGTCTGTTGATAGCGGTGGGGAGGGGTCTGAGGGTCTGAGGGAAGAGACTCTGGGATCCCCAAATTAGGTGAGTCAAGCCAGGACCAGAGGGGACTCTAATAGGGGTCCTTAATTGAGTGGCAGGCCTAAGAAGCTTAACTAGGAATCAAGATAACAAAATAGGAAGGGTGTCTGTGGGGGGTCATGATAATCCAGCTAGGTCTGGAGGCAGGTCCCAGCGTCCAGGTGTATTTTCCCCGCCTTCTCTTGGTCTGAATGCAGGCCCTCCCCTGCCCTCCTGCCCTCAGCTCCCTGAGGGCTCCCATACAAGGGGCGGGCCACTAGATGGGCACGGACAACTCCATGCCCCACTCGCCTGGAGGAAAGACAAGCTGAGGACATCGGAGTCCTGCCGAGGTCAGCTCCCCCTTCACATGCCCCTCCTTGTGCCTCCAGGGGCTTGGCACCCGCCTGGGCACGGCGCCTGGCACGGGCGCACTAGGGCTGGGCCGGGAAGGAGGGAGGAAGGGGAGGAGAGAGGGAGTGGCAGCGGGCGGGGTCTCAGGCGGGAGATGAGCTCACGCCGGCCAGGGCTGGGTTGGCTGGGGGCCAGGCTGGGCGAGTTCTTGGAGCCAGGGGCCCCCACTCCCGACTCCAGAGGGCCTCAGGGGTTGGGAGCAGGTAGGCCCCGGCTGGGAAAGCCCGCCCACACCCGCACCCTGGGGCCAACAGGTGGCCCACCCTCCCCACCTCACCTGAACCCCCAGGGGCTCCCCATCTCTTGGGGTGCCTGGTGCTCACCATCCTCCTGTTCCCTCTGCTCCCAGGGGGCGCCCCTTCCGCTAGGCCTCCTATCTAGATTTCTGTCCCACGTGCGACCCTCACAACTCAGGGTCCTGCTCAGGCTCTCCTTCAAGGCATCCTTTCCCTTTCAGCTCTCTGGATCCACTTTCCTCACCCCAGTCCTCCTCCTCACAGGCACCCCACTCCCATCCTGAAATTTCCTAATCTCCCCACCCACAGACGCAGACCCTGGAACACCCCCCAGGGCCCTGAAACTCTCCTTTGGTCTTCAGGGACCCTTCTCAAAGTCTAAGGATTTGGGTTCCCTTCCCCAAAGCGCCCAGGCCCCTCGATTCTGGTATCTCCCATTTTGACTCAGAGTGGCTCAAAGGCACGAAAGCTGGCCCCAGTCTCCTCACGTGGGACGCCACAGGTCCCTGAAAACCCTCATTGCTTGCAAAATCGGGACCCTCAGGATCCAACCCCGAAAGCCAGGAATTGGAGGCTCTCTTCCTTGATTACCCGAGGGATTCCCCAGCACGAGTGCACACAGAATCTGGACTCCCTCTTTCTGGAGGCTGTCTGCCCCATCCCCGGGGATACTTCTCCCCCCGCTGGGAAGCCCTCCCTCGGGACCACCACCCCGCACTCACAGGCGCGGAAGCCGGGTCCCCCCGGGGCCGCCCCTCCGGGCGCGCCGCTGTCCACGCTGGTGGCGTTGCGGGGCGCGCAGGTCGGGGTACAGCGGGGGCCGGTGGGCCCATGGACGCAGCGCAGGCTGCACACGGCCGGGGTGAAGCGCACGCGGAGGCGCTCTCGGGGCCGGCCCAGCCCGGGCTGCGGCCGAAGCAACGCTAGCAGCACCAATAGCGACACCCAGAGCAGCCGTGCGCCGCCCGCCATGGCTGCAGCGCCGCGCTCCGCCGCGCCGCCGCCCCAGCCCGCCCGAGGGGCCCGGCCGCGCCCGCCCGCCTGCAGGGGAGGGCAGCCGCGCCCCCGCTCAGGCCCCCCCCTCCCCACCACTCCCTCCCCGGCGGCCGCGCGGGGGCGCGTGGGGCTGGGCGCGCAGCCAGAGGCGCGCAGGCTGGGCGCTAGACTAGCAGGGGGAGGGGGGAAACCCCTGCCCCCCCTCGCACCAACAAGTGAATGAGGCTCGCAGGGGAGCGGCAGGGAAGGGAACAGGTGGGGGCGGGCCGGTTCCCCCCGAGACAGGGTTGAATCTATAAAGAGGAAAGAGTAGCAGGGGCCGCACTCGGGGAAGCGGTAAAGGCTGATTCTCTGCTTTACCACAGAGAGGGGCTTCATCGGTATAGGAGGCTGTCATGGCACATTTGGGCAGCCAGGTGGCACATCTGGGGGAGAGGAGAACAGTCGGTTCACCTGGGCAATGAAGGAATTGGGGGTCTGGATGGTGGGCAGGATGCTGGAGGGGGGTACACTTAAGAATGCAGCCACATCTGGCCAGGACTCCCCACACCTGGTAGGAGAAGTCAGAATGGATAAGGGGAAATAGTGGATTGAGGCTTTGGGCTGGGGTCCTCACTTCTGGCCAGAGGCCCACATCTGGAAGACTTTAGGAAGGAGGGGACACATCTGGGCTGAAGGCCATAGCAGGAGGGGGACTTTTGAGGGTGGTTGAGACTAGGGGGTATGCTAGCCCTGAGGCGGAGGGCTGGAGAGGGCAGAGGGCAGCGGGAGTGTCTGGGGAAGCAGGAGGCGTTTGGCCCCTGGCCGTCCGCAACTTTGGGCATTCGGTGACAGGGCAGGCGCCAACCCGCACAATCGCTTTTGTTGTCTGGGCTAGTTCGGCTGTGTTCTCTGCTGGGAGAGTCTCCCGCCCTAAACCCCCGCTCCTGCTTCGGCCGCGGGGAGCCCGGACGCCTGGCTTCCCGGCCCCACCCCCGCGGGTCAGCGCCTCTGGCCGACGTCTGGTCCTGTCCCGGGCTCACCTCTGGCGGCCGGACGCCGGGATCCCTAGAGGGGGCCGCATCCTGGGAGGGGAGATGCTGAGCTACAATTGGGGGCGGCTAGGCGGCTGCTGGACCGTGGGAACCAGACGGCTTTATCTGGCCCGGAACCCCCTCAGCCCCCCGGCAGAGGAAGGGCGGATGTTCTTACCCCGGGCCTGGCCGGCAGGGGCGCGCTGTGGGGGCCTCCTTCTCAGCAGTGTCCGGCCCCCCGGCCCGCGGGGCCGCCGTCGTTTCAGCAGAGCTCGGGCCTCCTGCAGCCTGGGTGGGAGGGGGCAGAGAAGGAGCTGTCACTGCGGTTATGCTGACTCCACCTTCCCCCTTAAAACCCCCCAAAGGGGCTTCCCAGGCCAGGAGGTATCCTAGTAGCGGCTCTGCTCCACTCCCCCATTCCTTTTCGGGGATCAGGCCTTGAGCGTTCTTTAGGGGCGTGAAACAAAGACGGTAGGAGAAACAGATGGGAAAGAGAGAAGAGAGGCCCAGAGACAGAAGCAGAGAGAAAGAGAGAGAGAGAGAACAGGCAGAGGAGACCCAGGAGCAGAGAGAAAGGTGTTCAGGAAATGGTGGCAGAGTTGGGAGCTCCAGAGCATCCGGTAGGGGAGGCATCTCACACTCACGTCAGAGGTTGCCAGTTAAGGGACACCTGTCTCTTCCTCACGCTGGGGCTTGGGCTGGGTAACTCCAAGGGCACTGGAGTCAGGCACCCCTGAGAGCCTGCACACTTCTTGGGAGGGCAGTTCTGGACCCTGCAGGAGGCTTCGGAGACAGCCAGGGACTAAGTGGAAAAGGAAGGAACTGAGTCCCTCTTTCCACCACATGCACCCAGCTCTCCAGCTAGGATGAGGGGTGCAGAAAGGATGCCCCGATCCCTTTGTTTCTACCCCCTTTTGCCCCCTACCTATACCCACCTAGAAGAACCCACCTCTGAAACAGCGGCTTCTCCTGAGCGATCGGCCTGGGCAGCAGCGACAAGCAGCAACACTATACATAGAGGGGTTGAAGCCACTCAGACCCCTAGTCTTCTAAAACTCATCCGGGGGCAGAGGGTGGGGTCAATAGGGGATAGAGGAGGGAAAGCCAAGATAAGGCTTGAGGGTGCTCGAAATAGATGTGTGACCAATTTGAGACACTGCACTCGATGCCTCAGTTTACCCATCTACACAATGGGAGGCAAACTGGCTTAAACTCTCTAGAGATGAAGGTCACAGCAACCTTACTTTTATTTGTCTTCTTAAGTGTTTGGCAGTAGGGTCTTACTGGAACAGACACCATCAGCGGATTTCTAAGCGCATTTACAAGCTCCAAATGTCTGGGAATCTAGAACCCCGCCCTCTCCTCACAGCCCTGTCCGGGAGTCAGCTGTCATCCCGCGCATGGCCGGCAGGTGGCACCACTTCCACAGGCCTCAGCGACTGGGGAGGAAGGTCCTCCTTTGCGGGTCCAGCAGGGTGATGAGGTGGAGGGGGATGCATAAGGAGCCACAGCCCAGGATTGGGAATTCCGAGGCCTGAGTTCTAGCCTGTTACTGCCCTTCCACGCTGTGTGTCCTGGAGCCAGCATCTCCTGCTCTTTGGGCCTCAGTTTCCTGCCTGACCAGGAGGAAGGAGTAGTTCTTGGAGAAACCTCCGCGCCCAGACGGTCTCAGGTTCTGGGTAGCGGAGCCTTGGGCTGGAGCGCAAGTGCGTTTGCAACCAAGGGGCCCCCCAGACAAATCCATTATCCCCAGGCTAAGGGGGACGAGCGAAGAGGGCCCGGGGGCAGGCCCCAAGAGAAGGGCAGTGGGAGATGCTGCCAAGGAGACGTCGGGGCGCGTGGACTCTTTCCAGACGGGTGGGGACCAGTGGAGGAGGAGGTCGCCGCGTGGGAGCCTCCGGGACCCCCGATCTTGCAGTCTTCCCTCCCGCCTTTTCTCTGGGTTAACCCCTTCCCGGCCCCGCCCCCGCCACGGCTCGGGTTACTAAATGCATTCGCAGAGACCGAGGCGGGAGCTCAGCCCGGGGCCTTTGTAACGGAGTGCTGGGCCGCAGGGCGGGGGGCGGGGGAGCTGGGCAGACTTGTTTCCTCCCATCTCGTCACCGGTAGACGGGAAAGGTGGCTATAACCCCAAATCTATAGGAAAATCTGGATCTTTCGCAGCGAAATCGGCACCTCATTCAAACCTGGAAACCCAACCCCCATGAAATCTGAAGAACCCCTTCTGCACAATTCCCCACAAACCCCTCTGCCGTCAACCCAAAGGTCCACGTCTTCCTCGTTAGAGAAATCCAAGGATCCCATTTAGTTAACTAAGACGCCCCGAAACCCTAGAAAACCAGGACACCTCAACTCCCGCGTAAAGTCCCTTCACAACCTCCCATAGTCTACCTCCTTAAGCATCCAAAAATCTTGGGGAACCCCATCCCAATTCAAGTGCCCCACCCACCTATCCTACAACTCAAAACCTCACCGCCACATAAACTAGGACCCTTCTCCGAGTAAAACCTAGGATTTTCTGGAGCCATATCTACCTTTACTACACCAAGAGGGAATCCTCCTCAAAATCTCATAACCCCCCGATTCTAACTTCTACAAAATAGAGGGCTCTAAAAAACCCAAGAGCTCTGGCTCTTTCGTCCCCACCCCAAGCAGAGGATTCGTATTCTCCTAAATCCCAAAGTCCTGATCCTCTCAGATCACTAGACTTATTGGGTGGAGGGGGCACAGGGGGCCGCAGCGGGGCTTACCCGGCTGGGTGGCCCGGGATCACAGCAACCTCGACGACCTGGCCGGGGCTGGGGCTGGCGAGGGGAGCAGCGGCGGCCACGGCCGCGAGAAGCGGTAGCATCACCAGAAGGAGGGGGCGGCGGCCGCTGGGGCCAGGCCGCCGCATCGTGTCCGGCATATAGTCCCGCTCCAGGCGGGCCGTCTGTCCAGCGGGTCCGGCTCGGCGCCGCCCCGCCCCTCGCCCCCGCCGGAGGCCGACTCATTTTCTCCACAGTCCCAGCCGCAGGCTGCGAACTTCCCGCCAATCAGAGCCCGGTGCCGCCAGGGGGCACTGCCCGCGCGGCCAATCGGGAGACGGCAGAGGAGGGGCTAAAGGGACAGGTGCCCGGCGGGGGGCGCGGAGGCCTGGCATCGCCAGTGCTGTCCCTGTACTGACTCAGTGCGCTCTCTAAGAAAGGAGAGGCACCAAGTGGGGCGGTGCTGGGACACCCTTCCCCGGCTGGGAGGGATGCGAAGGCGGTGGGCAGAATCCCTTAAACTAGACTCATCACGCGCAGGCCTCATCCCTCCGTTCTCGGCTGTGAAAGAATTCGATCAGAATATGCTCCGTGACTGGTGTAGATGCTGGAAGCCTACCCAGGTGTCAGCTTCTCACGCGAGAGACTAAGGATTCTGGGGACTGAGCGGTAATCCTGCACTAGGCCCCAGGTCGAGCCCTTCTAAGGGCCCCAGGCCCACTTCTCAAACGATTTGCCCCTTCTGAAGGCCCAGTGATTCAGGGTTCCAGGCTCAACAAGCAAAGTCTTCTTGCTCAGAAGCCTGCAGCCTCTGCCTCTCCGAGGACCAGGCTCCCCCTGAGCCCAACCCGCAGACTCTGCTCCCAGAGGCCTCCCCTTTGCTCATCTCCTTCACACCTCCCCACCGGCCGCGCCTAAAGAATACTGGACTCCCTTCCTTTTGTGAATTAAAGGCTTCCAAGAGCACCCTCCCACTGCCAGAATTGCAAGCTCTCTCCTTAGAGAATTCCAGTCCCGTCCTTTTCTAGGTAAGAGCCTCAAGTCACAAGAGGCCTTAGGCCCCACCTGCATCCTCTTTAGTGGGTTCCGGGCTACAAGGCCTGTTCACAGTCCCAACTCGGAGGTTCTCAAGGTCAGCCCCTTCCCTTCGTTATAAATTAAAGACTACCCTCATTGCTTGGAATCACAAAGTCCGCCTCTCTTCTCCCAAAGACACTGTCCCAGTGCTTCACACCCTTCTCCCCTCAGTTTCAGGCCACACCACTTTTCACAGAGAATTAGGGCGCGGTCCCGCACTTAGGATCCCAAGCCCCACCCTTTCGTGTTTGCCGCGTCCCCATCGGTGCCAGGCCCCATCTCTCACCGAGATTAGATTCTGAAATTGTCGCGTTAGCCCCGCCCCCGGGGGTCCCAGGCTCCGCCCACACAGGGTACTAGGCCTCCCGCCCAGACCGTAGGGCCCACCCCGAACTAAAAACAGTAAATGATGCTGCCTCGTCTTCATCCCCCACTATTGCTCTTTCTTCCAGTGGAGAGTGTGCAGGACGGACGGGAACCCCTTCACCCTCCCCGTTGCAGTGAGACACACGAACTGACTCACAGCCACACGCACACCGTTACTGCCACCTACAGAAATCCACGCCTCCGTCCAACGCTAACACCCAGAAATCAGGGCCCACCCACCGTCCAGGGACACACAACCTCTTGGAACAGTAACGACGACACTCAGGCCTCACTCACGAGCATTCGTGGGCTGTCTGAGCGCAGTGATGTAGTGCCCGGCTCTGCCCCATTAATGTGCTGTTTTGTGTAGCCCCCCGCCGTCTCTGTTAACATAGCCCTTCAGGACAGCGTACTCGTGCCCCCATTGCCCCCCTTCCCCATTACTCTCCCTCCTACCCTGTAGCTGAAGCATTTGCTGGGGGCGCTGCCGAAATTTCTCCCTTCTGTCTGGGATCCAGGGCATCTTTAATGCTCGTTGCTAGGCAACAGCCTCTGGCTCACCACTGCAACTTCCGGGGATGGCGTCGGCTTCCCCTCCTCCCAGAATTTGGAGTCCCCAGCTCCCAATCCCTCCCTAGCAGTGCCATTATCTCCAAGAGTCGTTTCTATGGCACTCCTTGGATCCTGATCTGATCTCAACCCTACAGAATCCCTCAGAGTGCTAGAGCCATGGCATTCCAGAAGCTTTCTCCCATTGTGTGCTCTTATGCTGTTTTATCTCTGCGGTGTTAATAAAGAAACAAATCTCTTTGGTGTTCTAGATTTTCTGACATTCTCTTCCATTCTAGAATCACCAGCATTCCAGGAAGACAAGTGTTCTGTATTCTCTGGCATGGGGGGAAAATCCTCTCAATATTCTAGATCTGTGTTACAGAACATCTTCATATTCTAGATTCCCTGACATTCCAATCCCTTCCTATGTTTTAGGTTTCCTAACATTTAAACATCCCTGGTGTTCTGAGTGCTGTGGCATGTAAAAATACTTCTGGAGTTTGAGATTCACAAACCCAGAACACTAATGTTTTAAAATAAAACACATTTTAGGCCTCCCATTCATGTTCTAGATTCTGTGACAATCCAGAACCCCCTTCTATTATGGGTTTTATGGGTTTCTTGGAATGAACCCATTTCACAAACCGACTAGTGATCTAGAAGGGCTGACATTCCAGAATACTCTTATGCTCTAGTTTTCCTAGTAATCCAGATTCCTGTGTGTTTTATAATCCTGTGTTCTAGATCACCTGGCATGCGAAATATTCCCACTGGTATAGATTCTTGGGCATATCAGAATACTCTCCCATTCTAGAATCATTGATTTTTCAGGTCCTTCTGTCGAGAAATTTCTATAGTCTGGATTCTCTGATGTGCGAGCAGAACCCTAATATTGTTCAGCCACTAGCATTCTAGAGTATTCCTATGTTCTAGATTCTCTGGCATTTTAGACCCCTCTCCACCATGTTAAGAAGCTATGGCATTCCAGAAACTCTGGAATTCTAGGATGAGTATATTCTAAAATCCCTTGTTCCTGGTCTGGCCCACTTTCTGTCCTCCTCATTGGCCCAAGGAAAAGATGCAGAAATCTTCCCTTAGGAGTTGCCATAAGAATAGGCATTATTATGAGAAAAAAAATCCCATGGATAGCAGGCTGCGGTGAATTGCACCAGTCCGACATATACTCTCTGGTGTGGGCAGGCAAGAGATGAAAGATGGTAGCCTGGGAGTGGGCAAGATGTTTGCAGTGGTGAGGTTTGGGATACAAATGTCAAGGAAGTGGCAATCATGAGGCCAACATCTGTGCTTCACCATTCATCTCTGCTTGTAGTAATAGTACCCTGATTTACCTTTCAGGAACTACTCCTGTCAACACAGGGCTGACCTCACCTCTTGGCTTCTCAGGCCGCATGATCCCTGGAACAATGGAAGGCTTTCATCACTGGCCATAATGATTGGTTCAGGGATGGCCACCTGACACAATTCAAACCAGGGAGAATCAGTCCTGTGATTTTTGCTGCTGCTAAAGAGAGAAGTGGAGGAGCTACTTGAAGTCATCTTGGCACACAGAGGGGAAAACCTGTGTGAGAATAATGTATCCCAGAGGAAAGCAAAGCCAAAAGATGGAGAGACATCATAGATGAGTTTTTGAACCCCTGGATCCAACTGTGCCTGAAGCCAAGTGTAAACCAATACATTCCCCTTCTTTGCTTAAACCAGGGAAGACAGATGTTCCTGAATTTACAGCCAGGGACCTAGTCAGTCCCCACATTTCTCCCACCCTTTCCCTGGGGGTCACAAAACCCTTTAAGAACATAATCAAGGTGTTGGCAGTGAGAACTTTATTAGGAGAGGGTGCCTTTGGCTTCAGAAAAGGGGGATAATGGGGGCCTAGTAACACTGACCACTCCAAGTAGGCCCTGGCCCTGAACCCAGGGTCCTGACAGGAAGTGCAGAGGCACCTGAGTCCCCCAGAAGCTGGGTACCCAAAGGCACCATGGCAGCTGTGTTAGAAGGATGTTTCATTGAGCTTCATCTTGGGGGGTGTGAGGGGAGCCCCAAGAGTCGCGGAGGGCCGGGGGGCAGGTGTTGGTGGCCGCCGGGGCTCTGGCCCACTCCGCACCAGTTCCTGGCAGCGTTCCACAAAGCTGCCTCCCCCACGGCGCCGGGCCTCAGCCTGTGGGGGGCTCGGGCTCCCACGGTGGCCAGACAGGGAGGTGTTGCTGGAGGCTGAGTGGAGGCTGAGACGATGACAAGTGTCAGTGCAGATCATCATGGGGCAGCTGGCCTGCTCCCCCACCCCCTAAGGACACCATATTCTGCTCTCTCCCCCACTGCACCAAAGGGGAAGCGGAGTCATGCCTACCTGATGAGAGAGGTACGGGGTGAGGGGCTGGGGAGAGAGCCCCGGGAGGACGCCAGTGGGGTGAGCTCACACTGCTCCAGCTGTTGCATCAGCTCTTCCTCGGTCAGGCCACCTGCTGGGGGGCAAGGACGCAGGGTCAGGGCCAAAGGGCAGGTACAAGGATTGAGGTCAGGATAGGAGAAAAGATGCAGAAGTCAAGGGACGGGGTCAGAAGCTAAGGGAGAGGGGGTTGGAAAGCTTGGGCAAGGAAGGGTTGGAGGGCGGAAAAAGAGGTCAGAGGGCAAGGGCATGGGGAGGGGGACCTTGATGATGGAGGCTGTGGTGAAGGATTCAAGCTGTCTGTGGGGCTTGGGATGAAACTGAGGTGGGGCATACCAGGGGTCTGGCCGAGACCATCCATGGCGGTGGTCAGGTCCCACATGGCCAGGCTGCCGTTGGCCTGGCCGGTCAGCAGGTAGCGCCGGGGCCGAGAGCCAAGCCGCCGGGAGCCCTCACACTCGAGCACCGTGAAGGCGGTGGTGGGCGAGCCGTCCACAGAGCGCACCGAGCACACCCTGACAGGGAGGGTGCAGGAGTCACCCTGGCTGCCCAGGGGCCTGGCCCGTCCCCCTCACCCCTCACCCCGTCCCCCCTTTCCAGTGACTGGCCCCGGCTGTTTCATCCTTCCCGGTCTGTTCTCTCGAGCCATGGCTGCCTCCTGATGTCCACCGGCACACCCACCATGTGTCCCCAGTGTGACTCTCCCCCACATCTGTTCTGCTCCCATCCCCACCTCTGGGAAGGGCTGAGACATCCTGGGGGCCTCCCTCACCTCCTATCACCCCTCACCTTCCTGCATCTGTCCCACGGCCCCTTCTCCCCTCCTTTTGGCCCTGTCACACCCTGCCTGCCCCAGCCAAGCACCTTCCCAGCCTCCTCCCTGGCTCCTGGCTCCTCACGGCGCCCACGCTCCCGGTGCACTCAGAGCAGTCGCAGCTCTCCCGGGCAGCTGACAGGCCACCCCCTCTGCCGCCCATTTCTCACCTCCTATTCTGGCTTCAGCCCCCTCCCTGGGTACCTTATATTGCAGCTCCAGCCTCTGCACACCTGTCCGGTGGCCTGTCACACCCTTGCCCCACCCTTCTTTCTTCTGCTCCTTCTGATTTACCTTAAGGTCTCTGCTCAGAGCTCCCTCTTCAAGAAAACCCTCTGGGACTGCGTCCCAGGTTGGAGCCAGTACTGTGTCCGCATTCTGCCAGCTCCCTGTGCCCCCGCCCTGGCCCTGACTTCACTTGGGACTGTCTGAGGTCCCAGGCTTTCTCCAGCTTCACCCTGTTACCCTTCATATCTGCCACACCCCCGACACTTCCAGCCCCCAAATCTAGAACCAGACTCGCGCTCCCTCCCAGCCGCTGCAGCTTCAGTACTGCTTGGCTGAGACCCCTCAGCCCTCTGTGACCCAGTGGGTATCTTGCCTTCACCTCTGACCACCCTCCCCATTGACAGGACGGTCCTCACCGCTGGCCAGTTGATGAAAGACGTACGAAGAGTTGGCTGGCACTTGGCACCACCTTCTGAATGAATACCTGCTGGTCATCCCGCTCACCATAGGGGCCTGGGACAGGAAGGGATAAGGTCAAGGCCACCTGGGGTCCCTAGAACCTCCAGGCCCCAAGGTTCCACCCCCTCCCCATGGATGAACCCCCTCCCAGGACTCAGTCCCCATTCCCAGGTTGCTGGAGTTGGGCAGGGGCAGAGAAAGTTGGGGTCAGCAACAGACAATGGAGTTCAGGCACATCAGGGACAAGGGAGGGTCCTGGGTCAGGTGGCAGTCAGCAGGGGTCAGCAGGGGGTGTCAATTCAACTGGGGTTCTGGGAGTAAATGGAAGTCAACAGGGGTTGGGCGGCACATAGTGGAGTCAACCTGGTCAGCTGGGTGGGTCAGGAGAGGTCTACAGGGCTCAGGTAAGGGGCCAGTGGAGCCATTTGGGGGTCAGGCAGGGTCCTGCATGGGGGGCCAGGAGCCAGCAGGCACCGATGTCATTGCCGGCACTGCAGCCACCATGCCCATCGGCCGATTCCAGCGCCAGGATCTTGAAGGAAGCGAGCGGGGTGGAGCCAGGCTGGGTGGAAATCATGCCTCGGAAGCGAGTCACAGACCAGGTCCGCACGTGGTTGTTGTCAGCACAGACTGAGGAGCGGACACAGCAGCAGGTCAGGCCCCTCGTGGTAACACCACTGCTGACCTTCCTGTGCCCCAGCATGACCCACAGGATGATCCCTTCCAAAGGGGTCGGGATTCAGGCCCCTCTCTTCCCCAGAACTGCAAGTGGCCAACAATCCTACGGGCTCTGCCTCCAAAATTGTTCCAGAGCCTAATCTCACCTTACTGTTGTCACTGTCCCCACCCTGGTCCTGTCCGTCTCATCTCCTGCCTGGACCACTGCTGCTGCCTCCTCCCTGGACTCCCTGCTCCCCTCCTGCCACCACGGTCTGCCCCACATGCAGCCAGAGGGACCCTGTGAACCCACATCAGGTCACAGCCCGCAAGTGGCACCATC